GCCGAGCCCATTCCCTTTTTCTAGCACCCCTGCATCCCTTGAGTAGAGGGACTACAACCAAAGTATATATGCCACGTACACTAAGACAACCCCCCACACACACATGTCATATCTACACCAACTGTACATTAGGGTCACATTTCGGGAACCTTATAAGATCTTTATGAACAGCACCTTCTCCAACCTGTTGTGGACCAAACTGTGTCTTCCCAAAAAGGCATGTTCCAGTCCTACTCTGAAGTACCTGTGAATGTGACCTTACCTGGAAACAGTGTCTTTGTGGGTATGACTGAGTTAAGGTAAAGTCATTAGGGTGGCTCTCATCCAATAACCAATATCCTTACAAGATGAGGATAATTTAGATAAAGAGACACTGAGAATGCCAGGTGAAGACGGGGACAGAGACCAGAGTGACGCAACCACGAGCCAAGGAACGTCAAGGTGCGCCAGCAACACAAGAAGGCAGGACAGAGACCTGGGCTAGATTCTCCTTTAGAGCCTCTGGAAGGAACTTATCCTGTCAACACCTTGACCTCAGACTTCTGGCCTCCTGAACTATGAGAGAATAAATTTCTATTGTTTCAAGGTGCCAGTCTGTGGTTTTTTGTTTGGGCAGCCACAGAAAATTCATAAAGTCCCGGGTCTAGCTCCTGGGAACTACTTAAGGAACATAGCAGAGATGGAGCTCAAGAGCTACAGATGTGGAAGTGACAGCAGTGACCAGAAAAATCAGAACACTGGACACTGTCAAGCATCCAACAGAAGGGCTAAACTGCACACGCCCATATGATTGATTATGTGGTCATTATACCCTTCCGGTAACAGCTTTCAACAAAGACAGAGGTGTAGGAAATAAGTGGAAAACCAAGCTATGGCTTGATACAGTCTGTTTAAATATGTATGATGCTGCACTAAAAACAGAAAGAAAACAGCAACAAGCAAACAGCGCTGATCTAGGAACTATGAGATTACCCACAACTGTCATTTTTTTCTTTACAACTTGGCTCATTCCAAAGTTCGATGTCATGCCTATGCCATGTCATAGCTCAGTTTTATCAGAAATCATTTCTGTCCAAGGCTACCAACAGAGCAAGAACCTATGGGATTTTGGACTGTGTTTTTATTCTGCCTCAGGTGAGTTACAGGCAGAGAGCTCTGCAGGGGAAGCCCATCTCTGAACTTAGGTACTGATGTTCTTCTATCACAGTCTCAAGCAAAATGAATTTAGAAACTCATGAGAGCTCCTTCTAGAAACAACCAAACTCGAGGGCAGCTGAAAACACTCGTTCTGTAGAGGGTTTTAAGATAGGGCACAGCAGTTTTCACACTTGTCAAGCGAGGGATTAGGTGATAAACCTATGACAAAAGGACCTCAGCACTCTGAGAGGACAAGCCAGGGTATAGAGCCAGGAGACTATAGGCTGCCCCCACAACAATGCCTTTCAGCAGGAGAGATCACTATGAATGTCACAGCCCTGGGTTCAAATCCCAATAGTCACTTACTCAGGCTATCAAGTCCCTACCCTCCTCTGTCATTCAATGGGGAGGACATTTGTCATGACATCAGGCTCATGGAAATCACCAACACTTGCTCCTTGCCCCTCAGGCTGCACAGCACAGCTAGAATGCCCCATTTCATACCTAAGAACTGCTGCCTGTCTCCCTCTAGGTGGATCGATCTCACAGGCAGCTCATGCCGGGTGGTGTCCAGAGCTGTGGCAAACGTCTTGTACTGTTCCTTGAAACGCTGGGCCACTGCCTCAAAGGGGCTGAGCATCTCTATCTGCAAGCAGGACAGAAAGGGCTGTGGGAGGAGACCTTGGAGTTCCCAGTCCAGCTGTGTCAAGTTAAGATGTAACACTGGTCTTTCACAGGCCTAGGGGGCATCAGAGCTCTGGAAGCTTCTCTGGGTGCAAGGCAGAGGTGTGTGTGCTCTCCCCTCCTAGCAATGGCCGAGGCTTCTCACCATGGACACGTGTCTGCCTTTCAGTGTGTTCTGGGCCCAGGCCCTCAACTGGGATCACAATGGACCTAGGAAGGCTGGGCCCTCTGCTTTGAAGCACTCTGTTTAAATGCTGCCTTCCACAAGGCTGCCCCAGCACAGCCCACCCCTAGCCATATATGCCATCTGAGTCTTCATGGGGGTTTGTGATGACACACATTTGATCCTTAAAACAAATTGAGGATTAGGGCTGCCAACCCACACCCACCTAACACCACACACACAGAGCAGTAAAAAATCCACATGTAACTTTTTGTTTTGGAAATAGGAAAGCCTTATCAATTACACACAGTTGATTAGTATATTAGTAGACTAGTATCTACATATATTTTATGCATTCATGAGATACCTCTTTCTTAATTTTTTCAATATTTCTAGGCTATGAGCTTAATCCGTGAGTTTTTCAAATTGTCACAAATCTCCAACAAATTTTCTTTTTTTATGAGAGAGTCTCACGTCTCACTATGTGACCCTTGGTAGAGTACTGTGGAGTCACAGCTCAGAGCAACCTCAAACTCTTGGGCTTACGCAATTCTCTTGCCTCAGCCTCTCAAGTAGCTGGGATTATAGGTGCCCGCCACACCACCTAGCTACTTTTTTTTTTTGCAGTTTTTGGTCGGGGCTGGGTTTAAATCCGCCACCTCTGGGACATGGGGCCAGCACCCTACTCTTCCTTTGAGCCACAGGCGCCTCCCCGCCCAGCTGTTTTTTGATTGAAGTTGTCATTGTTGTTTGGCAGGCCTGGGCTAAGTTTGAACCCACCAGCTCCGGTGTACATGGCTGGCACCCCAGCTGCTGAGCTACAGGTGCCAAGCCAAGAAAATTTCAAATATACTTATTAAAAGCAATTCCTGCATAAGTGGGCCCATGCACTTCAAACCCATGTTGTCCAAGGGTCAACTGCATTTGCTGACTTGAGTGTCTTGTCTTTTCCTTCCACTATGAATTCCAGAGACCCTGTACTTAGCCCAAGCCCTGGCTATAGGGGTGCTCACATGAATATGCTGGGTGTGGTGGGTTGAACTGTGTCCCCTAAATTCATGTCTAAAGTCCTGACTCCTAGTACCTCAGGATGTGTCCTTATTGTGAGACAGGGTCTTTATAGTTAAAATGAGGTCATTATATTGCACTAGATTGTTTATCGCAGTTCAATTTACAATCGCTAAAATGTGGAAACAACTTAAATGCCCACCAATCCAGGAATGGATTAATAAGCTGTGGTACATGTATACCATGGGATACTATTCAGCCATTAAAAAAAGTTGGAGACTTTACATCTTTTGTTTTAACCTGGACAGAGCTAAAACACACTCTTCGGCTCGGCGTCCATAGCACAGTGGTTGCAGCGCCAGCCACATAAATGGAGGCTGGCAGGTTTGCTAGTGGGCTTGAACCCGGCCTGGGCCAGCTGAACAACAGTGACAACTACAATGGAAAGGTGGCCAGGCGTTATGGAAGGTGCCTGTAGTCCCAGTTGGGAGGCTGAGGTGGGAGAATCACTTGAGCCAGGGGGTTTGAGGTTGCTGTGAGCCATGATGCCACGGCACTCTACCCAGGGCAACATAGTGAGACTCTGTCTCAAAAAAAAAAGAAAAAGAAAAAGAAAAAAGAAATACATTCTTCTTAGTAAAGTATTACAAGAATGGAGGAGCAAGAATCCAATGTACTTAATACTAATATGAAGCCAGTAGATTATCTAATACACACCCACATAAGGGAAAAACTCAAATCAATTCATGATGGGGGGCAGGGGAACAAGGGAGTGGGGGAGAGGAGATGGGAGCAGGGGGATGGCTGTGCTCCCACTTAATGGGCACATCTCTTGGCGGCAGGACCTATGTATAAGAGGGACTCTACCTAACAAATACAAACATTGTAACCTAATTCTTTGTACCCTCAAATCAATCTGAAACAATTAAAAAAAAAAATTGAGGTCATCATGGTGGTCCCTAAATCAGTATGACTGGTGTCCTGAGAGGAAATTTGGATACAGACAGGCACACAGGGAAGACACATGAAGAGACATAGGGAGAAAACAACCATCCACAAGCCAGTAAGAGAGGCTGGAACAGATAACCCCCTCACACCTCTTAGACAGAACCAACTCCGGGGAGGCCTTGATCTTAAGACTTTCAGCCCATTTAACCAGGGAGACTAATTGTTGTGGTACCTTGTTAGAACCACCACAGGAAACTCACCCACTGGGTGAGGAGCCCATCCCGCTGGCTAGTCCCTTCTGGGCTCCCAAGCTTTGTTCTGTCCTTCCCCTAAGTGGACACCTCTGTCCCAGCACTGACCATATGGCGCTAAGACTGACATTTCTCCTACCAGCAACGTGACTTTCTAAGACAGGCCCAGAGCACATCTTCCTGTCCCTGCACGTAATCAGGAGATGCTCAAGGAATATGTGCACAAGCATGTTGAGGGCACAGGTCCTGGTTGGCACTTACGTTATAACCTCACTCTCTGAGAAACTGTCATATACTAACATTTGGACTAGAGTGTGCATGGTACTGAAAGCAAGGCAGTTAGAAGCAAGCAGGCAGGGACCTCCTACCACGAATGCTGCCTAAAATGGCAGGGAAGACAGCCCTGCTGGAATGCTCAACCCTGAGCCCCTGGTCGTAAGGCGTGGCTCACAACTGACCTGTGTGTCAAGGATGTCTGCCAGCTCCTGCTGCTTCTGACAGAGGAGAAGTCTGCGCTTCAGCTCATGGGCCTTTTTCTGTAGCTTTTCCTTTTCTTTACACAATATTAATAAATTCCGTTCTGCTGTTTCCTCGAACTTAGATAGACTGTTCTCAATCTGTTCAACAAAAAAACAAAAGCTCAGGCTAGAGAAGACCTCCTCTCTGTAGTTAATCTAGGCTGTCCTTTCATCAGTGTCACACATGACCGAGAAACTGTTTTCACCTTTACCGCCAGCAACGTCAGCAGTATTGTTTGGGACTCCATCATCTCCATCTCTTCAAGCAAGTCCTTAAGAAAAGGGAAAAGACCATTTTTTTCCCCTCATGAATTAGCATAAACCCAGCTCATCCCCTCCATCTCCCACAGGGGCAGAACTGTGACTTTCATGTATTTTCTGTATCAAATCTGATGATTCGGGAATTCTTTGCTGTATCTGGGCCTGCTGCTTCTACTTTCTCACTTATCCATCTTTTCCAACACCCCAGCAGGGGAAGAGGCAATGGCAGTGGCCAGGCAGGTAAAGGCCAGCTGAGGGCACCCACTGACTCGGTGTTGTGCCAGATTAGAGCTCAGTCCCCCACCATCCATACATCCTGTCCTCACTCAGATGAGGCCACAGCCCAGCTCTCTTCCTACCAGGGGACAGGGCCTGGCCACATGTCTTCCCTAGCATAGCATCTATACAGAAAAACCCCAACCTCACTTTTTATACAATCCCATGTTAGTATCTACTGCTATATGTGTACCTGGGGAAACATAAATTCTAAGAATTATCTAAGAACGTTTGTGGTTTTGGTTTTCATCCTAAGGGGCATGGCTGTCTTGTTTGCTCTAGGAGCCCTGGGACCTTGGCTGATAACAGCCAAGGGCAAGAGCTGAATCATATATATACAACCTATTAACAGCAAGCCTTTCATCTTACTTACTGGGCTCTTTTTCCCAGGAGCAGAAAACGACGTAGACTCAGTTTTCTTTGACATCTTTGTTTTTTCTAATTGTGGAGTCTTTCTCACCATACTTTTGTCTGATGTAAGAAGAGCATTTTAACGATGAAAAGGATATACAGTTGGTCCCTGATTTATGGTACTTTGACTTACAATGGCTTTTAGGGATATAATCCCATCCCAAGTTGAGGAGCATCTGGACTTGCAATGGTTCAATTTAAGATCATTCAGCTTCCTTTGGGAGGCCGAGGAGGGTGGACTGCTTGAGCTCAGGAGTTCAAGACCAGCCTGAGCAAGAGCAAGACCCAGTCTCTAAAAAAGAGCATTGTGGAGGATGCCTATAGTCCCAGCTATTAGGGAGGCTGAGGCAAGAGAATAGCTTTGAACCTAAGAGTTTGAGGTTGCTGTGAGCTACAATACCACAGCACTTTACCAAGGGTGACAAAGTGAGACTCTACCTCAAAAAAAATAGATTGTTCAGCTTTACGATGGCTTTAACATGGCATTAAATACATTTTTGACTCATGTTATTTTCAATTTATGATGAGTCTTTTGAGATGCGGGCCCCATCATAAGTCAATGAGCATCCATACTTTGGGGGCCCAATGAGATCTATCACAACCCCCAGCTAGTGATATGAGGGGTGAAAAGAATGATTTACCATTAATAGCAGAGAGATCCAGGTCAGGTGGGGCCGTGCCATGCCCTTCCAACAATGTGGACTGCAGATCACCCTTTCCGACCCCACTGCTGTCTGCTGTTCAGACAAGAATCCCAAAAGTCAGCAAAGCTAGTCAGTGAGATACTATACACTTAAGCTAGGAAACAAAGCCAACTTCTTTGAACACTACTTCTTGTTCCAAAAACCCAATTTCTTCCTAGGTAGCAGAAAGAACTAAAAAACCTGTGGAAATTCCCAGCCCTCAACTGAATCTATTTTTAAAGTACAGCTCGAAAAAAGACATTCTTTAAAACAAACCAAAAAAAAAAAAAAATACAAATAGGCCTTCTGAGTCATTTAAAACATGCTAATTGTCAGGTACAGTGTCATATGCTTGCTTAGCTCTCCATTTCTTAACTTCTTTTTCCTGCAGCTTCTGGACAGTTCCTGGGAGTTCCTTCCCTTCATCTTTAAGCCTATATTCAAACATATGCTGTCTAAAATAGGTATCGGATTACAGCATGCTACAATGACACAAGAGCTCCAGAGTACTCCAAACATCCAAGAGATGGTATGTACTTTACCCTCTGTTGTTTTGGAAAAGAAATATGAACTATGCAATTGGAGAAATGAATGACCTGGAAACAAAAGCCTCATGCAAAGGAAGAACTACCCACAACTGCTGGAGAGGGGTGCATGTGAGGCTGTGTAAAGAGCAGAGCAAGAGTGAAGTGTCATGGTGAGGAGGTGCCGTCCCAGACCTAGCGTGAGCATGCTGACTAACAGTGATTGTCAGAATGGGCAGATCATGAGTGAGGTCCTCCAACCTTGTCCTCATTTTCCATTTTTTATAGTGAATGCATGTCACATCCACAAGTAGAAAAACCAAACAATTTTCTTATCACTTTGGTAACAGCTTCTAAAAGGAGAAGTTAAGAGAAACTATCACAGCTGCCAGGACAGGAGAACAAAGAAGGCAACCCAGGGTGGTGACAGGTGGGAGGATAAGGCCTCACAATTGACAGTCCTGCTCTCAGAGTGCCAACGGGGAAACAGTAACATAGACGAGGAACTGATGTCACAGGGAGCACCATGCCATCATGATAATGTGCCTCTTCTCTGGTACCATTCAGGGAGGTAGTGACCCCTCCTGGCTCCCAGCCATTCCTTCCCTTCCCCCATGTCCCCTATCTGTCCTTACACTCAAATTGTTTGCCTAGCTCCACCTGATTCATGGAAACAACTTGATCACCATACTTATCACTGATTGAGGATCAGGGCTGCTTTGTACCTTTGGTTTTCTGGAGCAGGCTGGGTTTCTTCCCACCTTCAGATACGTTCCCACTGGGCTTTAAGGCATCTGCCACAAGAGCCTATTAGGGGAACACATGACATTTAGAAGACAAAACACTTTCCCTCATGAGAAGGACCCTTGATGTGGTCTACATTGTTTCTTATAAGTGCTCTTACTTTGAGGCAAAGAAAAAATTTAGAGTTGTGAAATTTTATTTCATGTACATAGGATCGACAAATTTGGTCAAAAAGTAGACACACACGCAGGGAACACAGGAAACCACCAAGATGTTTGCTGGTGATTATCTCTGACATGGTAGATTACAGGTGATTGATTTTTCTGAATACTGCTCAGTATTTGCTAGTTTTCTAGAAAGAACATATTACCCTTCATCATCAAGAAAAAGCTATTTTGGCAGTGCCTGTGGCTCAGTGAGTAGGGTGCTGGCCCCATATACCAAGGGTGGTGGGTTCGAACCTGGCCCTGGCCAAACTGCAACAAAAAATAGTTGGGCGTTGTGGTGGGTGCCTATCGTCCCATTGGGAGGCTGAGGCAAGAGAATCGCCTAAGCCCAAGAGCTGGAGGTTGCTATGAGCTGTGATGCCACGGCACTCTACCGAGGGCAACAACGTGAGACTCTCTAAAAAAAAAAAAAAGAAGAAGCAGCTATTTGGGTAGCTCCCACAGCTCAGTAGGTAGGTCATCAGCCACATACACTGAGGCTGCTGGGTTTGAACCTGGCCCAGGCCAGCTAAAATAACAATGGCAACCGCAACAAAAAAATAGCCAGGTGTTGTGGAGGGTGCCTGTAGTCCCAGCTACTCAAGAGGCTGAGGCAAGAGAATCACTTAAGGCCAAGAATTTGAGGTTGCTGTGAGCTGTGACCCAGGGTGACAGCTTGAGACTCTGTCTCAATAAAAAGAAAGAAAGAAAAAGCTATTTACACAGGTATTAAATGTCAAAACTTAGGAAAAACCGGACAACGCCCATAGCTCAATGGTTAGAGCACTGGCCACATACACCCAAGCTGGCAGGTTCGAACCTGGCCCAGGCCAGCTAAACAACAATGACAACTACAACAAAAAAATAGCTGGGCCTTGTGGCAGGTGCCTGTAGATCTAGCTACTTGGGAGGCCGAGGCAAAAGAATCACTTAAGCTGAAGAGTTTGAGGTTGCTGTGAGCTATGATGCCACAGCACTCTACCGAGGGCGACACAATGAGACTCTGTCTCAAAAAACAAAAACCTAGGAAAAACTAAGCAACACATGGAGCACTGCCCTTATGATTATAGTAAGTAAAAGCAAAGAGAATATCTTATTTTGAGCAAGAATATTACAATGTACAGACATCTCTCCTATTCAACATCACAGTGTAAGTGCGAGAATAAACAATAAAAGGCAAACAGTTAAAGGAAAAAGCCAAATTCCCTTCATGTGGACATAATACTTGACGTAGAAAATCTCCAAACATCTTCAAAAATATTACTAAAACTAAGTTTAGCGAGTGTAATGGTTAACTGTGTGTGTCAACTTAACTGGCCACGGTGTGTGCCCAGATTAAACACTTCTAGGTGTGTGTGTGAGTGCTTCCTGGGATCAGTATTTGAACTGATCGCCCTCCCCAGTGTAGATGGCATCACCGTCCAATACCTTCAGGGTCTGAACAGAACGAAAAGGTGGATAGTGATGAAGCCCTGTGTAAAGCATGGTACAGGGAAAGAGACACAGAGCTTCTATGCTCTGTCTGGGCACTCTACCCTCCAGGAACATACATGTGTTAAGCTACCTGGAAGTTCCCCAAACTTGGCCTTTTAGGTTTTTATGGAGAGTTTATTATGCATGATTGAAGCATATTGACACATATTGAAATTGTGATTGAACCAAAAGGGTATTATCTAAACCCAGCAAAGCCTATGCTTGTCAAAACTTATAGCACCTGATGTTAAAAAAGAGGTGACACTGAATCTGCAAATTACACTTCTTTGAGTCAGAGTCTCACTTTGTCACACTTGGTAGAGTACCAGGGCATCATAGCTCATAGTAACCTCAAACTCCTGGGGTCAAGCGATCCTTTTGGCTCAGCCTTGTGAGTAGCTAGAACTACACTACAACACCCAGCTAATTTTTCTTTTTTTTTTTGAGACAGAGTCTCCTTTGCTGCCCTTGGTAGAGTGCCATAGTGTCATAGCTCACAGCAACCTCAAACTCTTAGGCTCAAGCAATCCTCTTGCCTCACCCTCCCAAGCAGCTGGGACTACAAGCACCTGCCACGACTAACACTTGGCTATTTTTAGAGATGAGGTCTCTGTCTTATTCAGGCTGGTCTTGAATTCCTGAGCTTAGGCGATCCACCTGCCTCAGCCTCCCAGAGTGCTAAGATCATAGAGATGAGCCATAGCACTCAGCCACACATTTTTTCTTGTTTTTGAGACCAAGCCTGGCTCTGCTGTCTAGGCTAGAATGCTGTGGTGTCAGCCTAGTTCACGGCAACCTCAAACTCCTAGGCTAAAGTGATCCTCCTATCTCAGGTTCCTATAGATGCCCACCACAACACCTGGCTAATTTTTCTACTTTTAGTAGTGACAGGGTCTCACTCTTGCTCAGATTGGTTTCGAAACCCTGAGCTCTAACCACCCTTCTGCCTCAACCTCCCACAGTGCTAGGATTACAATGTGAGCCATCAAACCCGCCCTATAAATTACACTTCAATATAAAAAATTTTTAAAAAATAAAAACTCTTTTACCCATTTATGCTGGAGGTTGAAATTTTTGAATTTGCATGAAATTTATATATATTACCTAGTAAAATTCAAGGAACAAGAATATGATGAGAAAAAATTTTATTATATCCTATTATTGAGTTATGCGGCCTTCCAAAAACGGAACACTAGGAAAAACCACTGCTACAGTGTACATACTATATAAAATTCTGTTTATCTCAGAAGATGGTGACACCTGCTACTCAGTGTGATATTCAACAGAACACTTCACATGTAAGGCAACATCACATTATTCACATCAAAAAGCAGTGTTCCTCTGACATTCAGTACACCGTGTTTGCTTTTTTTTTTTTTTTTTGAGACAGTTTCACTTTGTTGCCCTCGGTAGAGTGCCCTAGCGTCATAGTTCATAGCAACCTCCAATTCTTGGGCTCAAGTAATTCTCTTGCCTCAGACTTCCAAATAGCTTGGACTACAGGTGCCTGCCACAACACCCGGCTATTTTTAGAGATAGGGTTTCGCTCTGGCTCAGGCTGGTCTCAAACCTGTGAGCTCAGGCTATCCACCCACCTTGGCCTCCCAGAGTGCTAGGATTACAGGCGTGAGCCACCATGCCCAGCCATCCGTGTTTGCTTTCTGTTTGATAATGTGAGTCAGTTAGGCTTCTGAGGTCTTCCCCTTTGGCTACTTTCTGGAGCATGATCGTGGGTCTCCAGATAATGGCACAGCCCACATTGATGAAACTACAGAAAATCCACTGGCTTCTCGTCATTTGTTTTATGTAGTTATCAAGTATTTTGTAAGGCTAATTTGAAACAGAACAAAAGAGGGCTTGAATACCATTTCTTCCCATGGATTGATGCTTGATACTTATCAATGTTGTCATCAGCACTGTCTATGCCTCCCATGAAATGGTTATACACTTTGATTATGTTTGGCTGCTGAATTTGGATCTTCTTTTTCAGTTTCTGACACAGGGGACTGACAGCAGCACCAGACCAGGCAACAGTGACTACGCTGTCATCATTCCATCTGCAGACAATATTGCCTTTGCCATCAATTCCATAATCAATGTGTGTTTTTCGTCAGAGCTACATCCAATTCCAATGGAGTTTTGTCAATGTGATCTGATCCTTTCTCACTGTACCTGTCACCTGATGTCCCACGGAACTGACCTTATCAAGAAGTACAATACTGGTGAAAAAGTTACTGAATATGAAATAGTAATGTCCAGGGTGTGCCTCTGTAAGTGCCTCACTAAACTGAAGGACAAGTGATGCACTAATACCACATTCCTCATGTTTAGTATTTGGGTTTTTACCCTGCTATGGCTGAAACCAGCTTTGTACCATAGCTTGTAGCCGAAACTGAATAGGCTTTCCTCAAATAAATTGTTTGCACCTATACTGACCAAAATAAGGAACCATATATTCATCAAAGGTGAAACATGTTTCATTGGAACAAATTTTATACATCTCTCATTGAAAGTGCTTATAAGAGGTCACAACTTGGAAAACTTGTCTATTGGGCCCATATTTGCATTTTTAGCAACATGCAAATTAGACAATGTAGTTTCAAAGTGGTCATGTCTCATGGTAACACCTACAAAGATATCACACACATCTGTTCTTTGTTCCCAGAACATATGCCTCCCAGGAACTGAGATGTAGCCACTCAGAAAAATGATTTCCAGAAAAATTTGAATTCAGAGCTAGTCAAGACAAGATTTACCCCCTTACTTGTAAGTAGAAGTTGGAGTACATGACAATGAGTTCAACAATCTCATCATCAAGAAAAAGTTCGAGAATTTCTGTCAGAGTTCTCATTTCAGTCTACGGCCATACCACCCTGAACGCGCCCGATCTCGTCTCATTTCAGTGAAAAAAATCATTGGGTGGTTTTGTAACTCTACCTGTTGCAGACTGTACACTCAGGTCAGCGTTTTTCCATTTGTGAGCAATTTTAGTCACCTTCTTTTTCTCTGATAGAGGAAGGTGCTGCACAGTAACGAGATGGAACTTCATGGTCAAGAGAGTCGCTTTCAGATGAATGTGAGGGACCATGTGAGTCAAACTCAGCATCATAACATATGCGTATCTTCAATAAGATATGCAGGTGCGCACAACAGAGAACCTGGCAGATTATTTAATGTTCCACCTTCTTCAACTCCTGGGTCTGCATCAGAAACAAGTGCTATAGCATTTTCAGGTGGTTGTATCACTATGGCACTTGCTTCTATGCTGCCATCTGTCTCTAACAGGTCAGTTATTTCATGTAAACTTAGAGTGCGAGGCATCCTGAGAATTACAAAATGATTTCAACTCAAAGAAGGGAAAAAGATGTTATTAGTCCTAATGGTAGAGTTCTTGTCTATGCTCCAAAAATGGAACATGTAAAATTTCAAATCCGTAACTAATGCAACAGTAATTGCATTAGTAATGCAACCAGTAGAAAAGTAACAGAAAAAAAATTACTACTGTAAGTTGCATTTACCTGTCTTTCTATGGTTCTTCAAAACTTTTCTGAAAATTCACATCAATTTTTGACAAGCTCCCAACTTTATGCACCACGTGATAACATGTGCCCCCAGGAGACAGACCAGTATGAAAAATCAGACCTTAGCAATGACCCTGAACAGTAGGATATAAATAACTCCCACATCACTACCATTCCAATAATGGAACATGAGGCATAAAGATCTAAAATATTCCCACATACATATAACACAAGGGGGCATGACAGTCAAGTCTTCATAGCAACATTAAAATTAGGAGAGTAGAGGACTGAGGCCCTTTGCAGACTATCAGCGCATACAAAGATATCCTTTTCCCTCAAGCTGGATGTTAAGTCTCAGTGTTTAGAATCCACAAAGCAGGCTCTGCGCCTGTAGCACAGTGGTTACAGCAGGCCACGTACACCGAGGCTGGTGAGCAACTGCAACAAAAAAAAAAAAATAGGTGGGCGTTGTGGCGGATACCTGTAGTCCCAGCTACCTAAGAGGCTGAGGCAAGAGAATCGCTGAAGCCCAAGAGTTGGAAGTTGCTGTGAGCTGTGACGCCACCATATTCTACAAGGGTGACACAGTGAGACTCTGTTTCAAAAATAAACAAAAGAATCCACAAAGTCAACCTACCCAGAGTGGAAGAGAGCAGCAGAAATGAATATATGACTCAACTTTTTTTAAATGATAAACCAAGATTTGGAAAATAGGGGGAATAATCCAACCTTGACTTCACTGAAAGAAAACAAATAATTGGGTCATCTACTGATGGTTTTTATTAAACCTCATACACAGCATGTTGTCAAGTGGTTGAGTATGTTTCATGTCATTATTTTCACGAGTTTCATGATCCTTCATGTTTGGTTACATGACAGTTTACTGAATTCTTTCCCCAATATTGGATGATTCAAGCGCATGACTTTTTCCCCTAGTTCTTCTCTAAAAGCCTATAAGTATGTTTTTAAATACTAGCCACATAGCAAGGACTAGGTGCTGGGCATTGGATAAGACAGCTTCCAAATGCTGAAAGTGAATTATTGGGTTGAAAGGCGAGAATAATTTTATATTTCAATAGAGATTATAGCTTTGTAAGAAATACACTAAAAGCAAGGAGGTGTTAATGACAGAGACTACCAACTTGGTACAAAGCCGATAATCTCAAAAGCACCTGAGCAAAACCCCCTAGACCTGCTTCCTTAGGACCAGGCTGCAACTGGCTCCCACAACATGGTTTGGAATTCCAACTTACTCAGAACCATGTTCATAACTGCTTCAAGCACACACTGAGTAGTGTATTACCTTTTTGGTTGTTTTCTTGTCATACTGCAAGTACCGGGACTCAACAACTCTTCCACCTGTGAGGATATTGGTTTATAACAAAACTGTGACAGTGGACCAAGAAAACCCAACACACTCAGATCCCACACCTGTCCAGGACCCTGGGCCTCAGAGAGCCAGATGCTGTGACCCTCCCTACTCCTCCTGGTTCTACCTCTCACTCCGCCTCCCTCCCACTCCACTCTCCCCTGAGACATGCTTAGTGCCCAAGCCCTGTGCAGACACAGCCCAGTAACAGCCCTACCCCAGGTCCCCAGGGTGGCTCCTGCCACAGCAAACGCCACCTCTGGAAGTGGGGGTCTAAACTGGCCCAGCCAGTTCTCTGTTCTGTCCTCCGCACCAGCTCTTGTCTCTCCCACCTCCCAGCTCCTGTGCCTGCCCTACCCTCAGTCTCAGCTGGTGGCTGAGAAGACAGGAGGGGCCCAGGAGACCCTCCCACCACAATCCAGCCCCTCCAGCTCTGAAGGACTATCCTGCCTCCTATTGTGGATGGACTTCTGTGCTCCTGGGTAAAGAAAACTCTCCATTCTGGGTGCTAGCACCTAGCCCTCATTCCCAAAAGGAAAGATCAAATGACTCCTCGGCCTCACCCACAGCCCCTCAGGTCCTCCCTCCACCATATCCCAGTTGAGTATTCCACCCCCTACCTCCTCAGCCATGTTTTTGCTCCCCTTTACAGCAAGCACAAGAGTCCTGCGCTCACCAACTCCTTTTCTTTTCCTCCCTCTTCCTTTGAATCCCCCAGTTCAGCTTTAGACTCCTGCACCTGAACACAGTCCTGGTCATTGAAGCTGTCAGCACAGCCATCAATGGCTCCTACCTCCCTGAAAAGCCCCTCACTTGGGCCTCTAGGCTGCCCCTCTGGGGGCTGAGACAGGCTGGTCTAACCAGCTGAGGAGGCCTGAGTGCCTGTAGGCACCTTCCAAGCCCTGCACCACTGCTCACCTCCTCAGCTCCCTCCTCCACCCCTCCTGTCTTCCCAGTGAAGCACACCTTACTCTCTTCAGCCACCTTGACTCCTCACTATGTCCCCTGCCTCGGGCACCTCCCTCCTGCAGGGCTTTGCTGCGGTCACAGCATACCCAGCTCCTGTTTCACCTTCAGCATGTCATGGTCTAACACACCCTGCATCTCCTTATGTTTCTGCTGCACTGCCTGCCTCCTCTCCCTAGGGCTCTCTGAAGGCCTGGGACTTTTGACCCCTTTGCTTGCTGCTATATTCCACTGCCTGGCACAGAACAGTGTTCAGGAATATGTCAAATGAAGGATTCTACATTTTTTATAGGCACCTATAGAGCCCAGAGTTTTCTCTTTGCTTGACATGGTCAATGTCACAAAAGCATGGTTGAGTGCAATTGTGACTTCAACCGTAAAACTTCATGCCAGAATTTGATTCCTCTGTTGAGGATTGGGGCTGCAGACAACTCTGAGAGGAAAGGAGGCACCTCCATAGTTAATAGGGGCCCCAGAATCAGCCAAAGAGCTGGCTTGGCAATCTGAGCATCTCTGGGGTCTCCAGAGCAAGTGGGCAGGAAGGTGCTGGAAGCCAGGGACAGACAACCTGGAGGCTACTGTCATAGTACAGGTACTTCAGGGTCAGGGCTGGGACCAGGCAGGCTCAGGGACAGATCTGATCCCCATGAGCAGTCTGCCACTGGATAGCAACCAAGGGGGTGTGGTAAAGGACACCCCCAGTTCCAAGCAGGGAGACCATCTGCTTTGGGTCTTTTTAGGACCATCAGCAAATGGTTTTGCTCAATGAGAAGGATTTAAGACTTGGTATCTTGGACAGTGGGGAAGAAAAGCTATTTCAAGTTTCTAGAAAACTAGGATACACCTGTTTGTTTTAAACAGTGCTGAATTTTTCAGAGAAGCAATGATATAATTAAGGATATATCAGTAGCTTGTGTCTAAAAATAGGCAGCACATAATTATTATAACAGGTGTTATACACAAGATTAACAAGTAATGCAGCAACACCTACAAGGCTGGACAATTAAGTTCATGAACTTATCTTAGAAAAACTGCTACATACCTTATTGCTGAATATCACTATGGTCACCTTCAAGGCACTCCTCTTGGGAAGCTATGTACCAGCACCAGCACCTAGTCCATCTTTTAAAGCAATTTTGGAACTCTTTCTCGGGAATCGTCAGCAGAGCTGTCATAGTATGAGGTCAGACAATTAAGTTCACTATGCAGTGGTATCAGTGCATAGCTTTCCAAGGGAGTACTTCGAAGGTGACCATAGTGATATTCAACAATGATGTAGCACTTTTTTCTAGGATGAGTTCTCAAAATTGTCTGATCTAGTAAGTATTGACTCATTTTGAACTAAAATCCTACTTTAAGTTCTGTGAATCAGGCAATGCTACACAG